TTAATAATTAAATAACTTATCATCACAACATTACTTCAAAAGTATTAAAAAACACTTTCATTATAATACACCAAAAAAGGTTGATCCAAACATATAGCTATTTTAAGACGGAATCATTATTAGAACAGAGTGATGGTAGCCACATGTCCGTTTTTCATTACCTTATAATACATATATAAGAATGTTTAACCAATTAGAATGCATAAATCAAAATTATTAGAGTTTCACTTAACACAAACCTCAAATACAGCACCATCATAACCACTTAATTCAGTTGGACCAAATGGGTTCTGACCACCAGCTCCTCGATTAAAAATTAACGGCCGACCGGATGGTGGTCCTATGAGCTCAGTAATTTTATCGATCTGAAAAAAATTAAGTTTAGAAATCAGAACATGAGTATATTCATTCACAGGTATCGTATAATGCATACCTTCATTTCTGATGAAATATAATTAGTTCCATTTTGGGTTGACACCGACGTTGATTGAATATCATCATCTTCGCCAAAAACTTCTAGTCTAGCAACTAAACATAAAATAAATCGGATTAGATCGTTAATATCCACATATATATGTGAAGAATAATGTATATATTACAAACAAACCTTCATTATCATCATCATAATTCGAAGTTATTTTTGGCTGTAATAATATCTTATAAGGACAACGTTTATATCTATAATAACAACAATGAAATTAGGATATTATCTAGTAAAAATGTTTTGAAAGCAATTATGCTGTATTATAAACTACCTTTGAAAATCGTAATGACCGGGCACGTTACCATGCAAAATTATTTTCTTACAACGATGTGAAACGCCATCAAATAATACATCAAATCCAAGATGAAAATAGTTGTAAAAATAATCTATTGGGTGCCCCATATCTTATATATATATATATATATATATGTATAATAAAACGTTTATGTCAGATATTATTGTTGATAATGATAAATGATTATAAAATAGCATACCTCCTTCCTGAATGTGATTTTCTACGCCATTAGACAATGTTTTGTTAGAAGTAATATCACCATCCTCAGCACTATCGATGCCAATATCTTTTGAATGTATTCGCATTTTGTCTTCTTCCTTGTAAAATATTCTGAGAGGAGAACCTATATCAACAATAAGATCCTGTGGTGTGGTCACATTCAAAAGTATCTCGACAGAGATTTGATTGGAATTGTTTCTAGCCAAAAAATTCACAGTAATACCACGTTTTAGCTTATCAAACGAATGAATAATTAGCCACAATTATTACCCTATAAAATATACAAACAACACAATATTTAATATTTTGTACCTCAGCAACAACACTTTCAACCTCACCAAGATCCCCATTGCATCCCATATTTTCAGGGTTGGCATTTCTTGGCAACGGAGGAGCTGTAACGTTGCGAAAATTGGCACCGTGGTAAGTGTGTAGACGAGAAAGTAAAGGAGACGTGCCATCAGGTAATTCCAAAGGAAGGTCTATAAAGGGTGATAGTGCGTAGTAAAGCTTAAAATTTCTGATGTAAAAAAAAAACTTTTTATAAACTGAATAAAATTCCTACCAGTTGAAGAAATAAATAAAGAAATATGTTCTTCAGGTATAGGAAACACAAATGATACACCCTAAAGATAATTAAAACAAAAATCTTTCCTATTTCATCATATGA